CATATTGTAATGATGGGTTGTGTTGAGCAAGCGAGCTGTTGGCATTTAGAGAGCACTGAGGGCGGGCATCAGGTGAGCAAGCTAGTGAAACATTGCACGTGCAAAAGAGTCTGCACACATCCAGAAACTTATTTTAAATGCAGAATTGATTTTTGTGTGTTCAAAACCACCAGCCATTGGCAGGTCACATGACCTGTCAGTGGCGGCCCCTGCCAGCCAGTTGAAGATTGAACCCCCACTCCAAAATCATCACAATTAAAAGAACCAAGGACTTAAACTACTTCAGTCTGTGTGCATTGAATTTATTTAATACACGAGTTTCAAAATTTGAGTTGAATTACTGAAATAAATGAACTTTTCCACGACATTCTAATTTATTGAGATGCACCTGTATTTGGCTGTTATAGTTTTAGCTGTAATGTCTCAGTTCACCGCTAGAGGGTCTCAAGTATAAGCTATGGGTTTCTCCACAGCTAGAGAGCATGTTAATTCAAAGTTATGTCTTTCTCTGCCACTAGGTGGCTCTCGAGTATAGGATATGCCATTGTTGATTAACAGAAGCCTCACTTTGGTCTTAATTTTCGGTAGCAGAATAATAGCGAAATTGTATCTAATTCTCTAATTTAAACTTTCCCTGTTCTGCAGTGTAATCACTTATGTTTGTGGTTTCATGCATTAGATCACACTACTTTAATTTAAGTTTAAATTAAGCAGTTGGCGGGACATTGTAAAACACAGCAACAATTGCTAGTGATACAAGTTACTCCGGATAAGTACTCACTTGCAAAGAGCCACACTGAAATAGAGCAGGCTTAGTGAGTTCTCAAGTGCTCCGATCATGTTCAGTCTCAGCTCGGTGATTTTATCAGTCAGTAGATGTTTAAGACGAGCATGTGGTTGTCAACCAATGAAACCATTGCAGTTTCGGGAAAAATTTCGTTCATCAACCAATCAAACAATGGTGTCTGAAACATTTTCTCAATCTACAAAAAGCAGCAATAATTGTATGAAAAATCCGCGAAACTTTTGCAACATCTTTATGTAATCCCACTTTTTCTTTACAAAAAGGATTGTAGTTAAGAACTGTAATGTTTACATTTCAAGTAAGTTTACTAATAGCTTATCAGCCAAAAATGGAGATACACTAATTCAATACACACAATTTCTCACATATAATTCTAATTTTAATAAAATATATTACCTGAAAAATGTTTAAGTATCTGCACTAGTAAGCTTAGGAGTATGTAGCAGATCACAAGACTCATTAGATATGTTCTATGCATAAAACTAAAATGTAATAATATTCACACAAGACCATTCTAAAATATTCTTTCCAGCATTTAGCACAAACGTGAAATATAAAAACCTTTTGTTATTCAATTAAAAGCTTTGTTTGTTAGATTATACATTTCAGGTTGTACCTTACCCTCTGCAAAGCGGACAAATCTTTTACACACGTTCATTAACTTAAAGCTTATTTTAATAAAAAGCTATGTAAAGTTCTTGCAAATGTGTCAAAATAACTAAGAATAAGACACTCAGAAACTTGTTTGCATGTCCATTGAGCCAGAATAATTTATTAAACACAGAAATTAAATATTTTTTAGCCTTTTTTGTCATTTTACTTTTTTCTATAATTTTTTATTTTTTTTTTAATAAACAAAGCCAGCGGTACTACCTAAAGAAATAGTACAAGACAGTTAGTTATATGTCTCTATTTAGTGCTCCTTAGTGTCAAATCATCACATTGCAGTGGCCAAAAACTGAACTTTTACTTTATGTAGTTGTGCTTAAATTGAAGGGTTTTTTGTTGCTTTTCTGTTGACAATTTTTACAGTGTTCTTGTATTTACAGAGACAGTCAGCAAAGCACACTGCGAGAGGGGGGTAAACTGGGGCCCCTGGACTGTGTTATACTGGGATGCTCTGCCATCATATATAAATGGTGAAAGTCAGCAAAGTTCACACTGCGAGAGGGGGGTAAACTGGGGCCCCTGGACTGTGTTATACTGGGATGCTGCTGCATCATAAATAAAGGGTGAATAAAATGCCTCCACACTGTCAATTCACAAAGTTTGATATACGTGCATGTTTTAGGCACTTTCTATGTACGTCAAAAATACTTTTTTAAATCCAGCTTAATCTTAATTACGTTTAACGATTAAAAATCGTTCAAAAATGAGGAACGCTTCACGAATTTGCGTGTCATCCTTGCGCAGGGGCCATGCTAATCTTCTCTGTATCGTTCCAATTTTAGTATATGTGCTGCCGAAGCAAGCACGAACAAGTGGTCTAGACGTCTGCTATTTATAGCAGTGTCTCCGGGAAAGTCTTCTCGAAGGTGGTGAGTGGTTAAACCATGATTTAGTCATTTACCAGGACAATACAAGCACATTTGAGTTGCTGCAACATACAGATGTCAGTATTCACACTCATTTCTGATCCTTTAAACTGTTGTTTGGTGTAATTTATGTTTTTCTACCAAGAAACAGGCAAGCCAGCGGATCAGGGCGGCCCTCTAGCCAGTAGGATTGGCTCTCAGTGCTGACGCATTCAGGTCATGTGATCCGTTCTCCTCCCCCAGCACTGCAGCTCCCAACCCCCAACGTCAGGACTGCTCTCGTGACTCGTGTGAGCCCATTACACCAGAAGCCGAAGCATCCAAAGGTCTTTGCTTTATATTTAACTTCTTTTGTAAATTTAGAGGCTACAATTGGTCTTGGGTGTTCCCAGAATGTGTCTGAAGTTTCAGCTTAAAATACCCCACAGATAATTTATTATAACATCTGGAAAATGTAATTTTTAGGGCGTGTCTAAAAAAAACTATTTTGGTGTGTATCACTTTAAATGCAAATGAGCTGCATATTCCCGCACATCTCCGCATAGCACACCTACAGCAATAAGCAGCCAGTAGAAACAACATGAGAGCGAAAAAAACGGTGTTCAGCTGTATACATGGGAAGCCAAACACCAAAAAGTGGGACAAAACAGCGCAAGGTTAAAGACCTCGCACCACGCTGACCTGTAATCAGCGCGGCTCAATGGACCAAGCCACGCCACCGACTCGACAGCGCAGGGAGGACGTGTTTGCTAGTGCCACCGAACTATCAGCGCCGCTAACTAATCTTACCAGACAAATTATTATTAATTTATTATTTTTAAATTTAGAATTTATTTTACAATTTTATTATTTTATGTTCGCTCACACAGTACAGACACGCGCACACAGTACAGACTCATACAGACACGCGCACACACAGTACAGACTCATACAGACACGCGCACACACAGTACAGACACGCACTCGCACGGAGATGCGGACAGAAACGTTGTCAGAGCTGCGGCTGCCCCGTGAATTTGTAAATAAAATAGTTTCGCAGCTGAAAAGCTACATGACATTTTTCAGTCCGGGATTTTCAGACCGGGATTGCTTACTAGACATGGTTGACATTACAGCTTCTCGAGAGCTGAGAAAATGGAGGACAGTGTACAACCAAACACAACTCGCTGAGGGCGGATACTACGGTAATGGAGGACTGTCAGTCAGCGGTCATGGGCGGGGCCTAAACATTGTGACGTCACAATGCTAAGAGAATCAAAACAGCCTGTCTTATGAGACTGATTTGTTTTAATAGGGATCAAAAAAATGAGTGGGTGGATTTTTATCATTGTAGGGTAGTGTTCACACACTACCAACACACATTTATGTCCAAACACCGTGTAAAAGTGGATTTTGCATAACATGTGCCCTTTAAGTCACTTCCGTGTTGGTTTCGAGAGAAAGACTAGAAGGTTGCCGCTTGGTCTCATTCACCGGTGAGAAAATATTACAGTACAAAGCGCATAATATTACAATAATAATGCTTTTCATTCTCGCTGGAACACGCTGATGACGTATCATGTCGACGCAAACAGGGTACGCAGAGGTATGCAAATATATTTTGACAGGCAGGCAGGACAGCCGATCATAATGTTTGGACCGAACATTTTATGGTCCTACGCCTTCCACAGGCGATATAAATGCATACAAATAAATTTAGACCACTTAACTTGGTGATTGCTATCGGGATATGAAGAGATTTTCAACCAGCATAACAAAAAAGTTTTTGAACCAAATCACATACCCTGCCTTTAATTTAAGCTTTTCCTATTCTGCCAGCTTGTTGCACTTACTAGCCCAAATTAAGTCTTATTCCAATAGTAATTCCAATAGAGAAACTGCTAGTAATAAGTACTGGCTTGCAAAGAGCAGCATTGAAAAAAAGAGAATGTTTACTCAAGTGAGTTCTGAAGCGATCCAATGATTTTCAGTCTCCGTTTGGCACTTCTATCAGTCAGGAGATGTTTATTACGAGCACGGTGTTATAATGGTTTCCTGGCAGTTTCGGGAAACATTTTGTCCAGCAGCCAATTAAATTATGGTATCTGAAACATTTTATTCATCAGCCAATGAAACCTGAAAATGTAAAATACGATCTTTCCTACATGAAAGTGGCATATGGGTTAGAGAGTTAGAGAGTCGGACTTGTAACCCAAAGGTCGGGAGTTCGAGTCACGGATTGTAGGCGGGGGAGTGAATGAACAGGACCCTCTTCCACCTTCAATATCCACCACTGAGGTGCCCTCTGCTCTGGGTGTGTTCACGAAGTGTGCACTTGGATGGTTAAATGCAGAGCACAATGGGACACCACCATACTTGGCCACACATAACTTTCACTTTCATGAATTGAATGCACCAATTGCAGCATAAACCCCGCCCTCTCCATGTAAATGGCCAAATTACGTGAACCAAAGCACCAGCTCATTGATCACTACTGTGGAGACTTTGACTCCAAATGACATCATTGGTGTAAGATATCAGCAGCCATACTTTTTTTTTTTTTTTTTTTAACAGTCTATGGTTCCAGTCCGTTACACTCTATCTTGCATTTCTCTTCAAACGGTCCCTAAAGTAGCTCCAGGTTCGAATGGCATAGCTGCAAGTGCTGCTCCATGACCGAGTTATACGAAAAATACAGGTGTGCATGTACATGTTACCTGGTGGATGACAGGAGCTGGAGCACTGATGACCTGCTGCACATTTCGCACTCCTGCTGAGTATTTGTATTGACTGGCTCCTCTGACTACAGCTCCGGCAGTTCTCCCACCTGCAGTCTGTGTGCCAATGTTGGCTAAGTCAAGAGAAAAACAGGTACAACAAGAAAAGATGATTCACATTCCAGCTAGAAACAGACCATTCAGGATGACACTAACATTCGTCAACTCTAGCTCATAATTTTACATTTTAACATATAGTTCAAAGTAATTGAGAGACAAGAGATACACAATGCATAAGGCCCATTTCCTAAAATAACTTCTATACAAATACACACCTTTGTTTTTTTTTATTATTGTGGGGACTTTCTGCTGGCATTGTTTTTATATTTGGTTAACTTAGCATGTTTATTAGTTTGTTTTCAACACTAAGGATTGGCTGGTCCCCACGGTTTAGTGGATTTCAAGTTTTACTATGCTTGTGGGAACATTTTGACCCCACAATGTAGGTTTAAAATAAACAGAGCCTTACCCATTCGCTGGGTGTTGTTAATAATGTGAGGAACCTGAGTGGAGGCCTGGCGGACTGTGCTGATGGTGGTAGAAGGCCTGCGGGGCACCGCTTGTCTCACAAACTGAGCTGTAAATGGCGCTAATGCAGCCAATAACAGAAATTAACAAATACAAAACACAAACACAACAGCGGTTAAAAAAAAAAAGAAACTGTATTTGAATTATATTAGTGGCATGTAATAAAACTACAGTATTGCTCATAGAAACAGGAATCACCCTCTATTAATAATCAGTTCTCTACAGTAAGTGCACAAAGACGGAAAACAAAAGGGCAGAGAGGACCAAAAACAGACAAAATATTGTCTTAAATGTATTCCAATTTTGAAAAAACCCCAAATATAAATATAACGTGTTTGAAGGTAGTGAGGGACAGAGCGTTTATCTATCTATACATCAGAAAGCTTTGGAGAACTTCACTTCATCTTAAAAGACTATAAAAATTATCTTTAGGTTCATTAGGTTTAGGATTTAAAAAATTATTAATATACAAGATGTGAAACACTAGCTGTGTGTACTGCATTGTATATGCAAGAAGAAATATTTAGGCAAAGAAAGTATTTTGCATATTGGAAAATATCAAGTTTGGGGTTGGTAAGATTTTTCAATGTTTTTAAATAAAGTCTTATGCTCACCAAGGCTGCATTTATTTAATCAAAAATACTGAAAAAATAGTAATATTGTGAACCATTACAATAAAAAAAAAATTTAATTGAAGAAATGTTTTCTATTCAAATATGTTAAAATGTAATTTATTCTTGTGATGCAAAGCTGAATTTTCAGCATCATTACCATTACAGTCTTCAGTGTCACATGATCAAAAATGATTTTTAAAAAAGCCTTTGTGTAATATCTATATGTAAATGTCTTTCATGTTACTTATGATCAATTTAATGCATAAATCCTTAATACCCCAAACTTTTTAACAACAGTGTATTATGTGATAGAGTACGTGAAATCTGTAGTGCTACTGCATATATTGTCAAATGGGTTTAACTTTTAAAGCATTAAATAATGTGAATAATCAGAGCATGACTTTTCTTTTTACTTTTCACAGAGCCCAACAAGAATTGTTGCTAAATTGTTCCGTAAATAGAGCTTTACCTTGAGTCCTCGGTGCTTGAGCTGTCCAGCGTGGAACAGGCCGCAGGTTTGGTACGGTGTTGTAAAAAGAGCGAACCTGATGCTAGAAATGTGAAATGTTCACACAGCAGAAGTAATGCAGATAATGCAATCATCATTCAAAACCACACATGCATATAAACACCCTTCCACCCACTTGCGGCACAGAGGTCATGTAGTAGCCAGAGCTCTGCTGGTAGGTGGAGGGTATGGTAGGGCTGGGAATGGCTCGAATGCTGGCTAGTCTCTGCATGTACTGATTGGTGAGGATTGCCTTTCGCTCCTCTTTTCTCTGGGCAAGAGCCACGTATAGTGGTTTAGTGCTAACGATACGGCCATTCATCTCAGTCACTGCCTTCGTGGCCTCTTCAGGAGAGGAAAAACACACAAACCCAAAGCCCCTACTATGGCCTCCATCCGTCATCACCTATCCCAAAATTTAAAAATCAAAAAATCAAAAGCAAGACTTTGTCCAGTTTATCTCAACGTAAAATTGCACAAATATGAGAATTTTCCTTTGTCAATAATAACTACCATTTTAATGCAATATATTTTTAGGTACAACTAGCATTGTTTTAATGTCATTCATTTATCAATATTTTTAATTTTCATATTTTCATTTTAGTTCAAATTAGTTTTTACTTATTTAAAGTGTATATAGTTTTCATTCGCCTTAATTTCAGTTTGATTTATTTTAGGACACATTTTATTTAGTTAAATCAAAATAAATATTGCCTTGACAAGTGGCTGTTTATATATATATAAATTTTATTTCAAGTAACAAAAGTGTATGTTTTAGTTTAAGGTAATGTTAATCAACATGGGTGAAGCAGGATCTCCAATGAGATGGAAAAAAGGTGTAGGAATTTATTAATTATGAATTGGTTGGATGCTGAAAAGTGTGTCACCATGGAGCTAAAACAAATACGGGTTTCATAAAATAATGACTAAATAGCTTTTTGAAAAGATGTTTTTCCAACAATGTGATGAATTTTGTAAATCGTTTTTGAAAAAAAAAGATTTCATGATTAACTTAAAGCAGAAAAGTTGTGCATTGTGACTACAATTGACATCACTCCCTCATAACTAATAACCTTCAAGTCTGATTAAAAAAAAAATTATTATATTAGACTCTCATCACACTTTTTACTGTATTTTGTTGTCCTGTCCTTGCTGCTATTTAGTAAGATGTGTATTCTTGAGCGATTTACATTACCTTTGCACTAGTGATGGTTCCATAAGGTGCAAACTCTTTCCTTAGTTTCTCATCATCAATGCTGTCATCTAGATTTTTTACATAGAGATTAACCCCCTAAAATCAAACAAAAAAAATGCATGCATCAAAATATTCCTGCTGAAAAATCAACACAGTTGAGCATATGCAAATCCTTCTCATACGATTAGGACGATATTGAATTTTGGCTGTGTTTTCAGATTTATACAAGTTACCATGCAGGTAAGCATATGTGTGTACCTGGTAGCGTTGTATGCGTTCCTGCTTTATTTGCTCAAACTTGCGTTTGAGTTCTCCCTGCCTCTCCAGTCTTTTCTGAGCTCTGCCCACATACAGGACTCTGCCATTCAGCTCTTTGCCATTCATTTCAGTTACTGCCTACCACAAAGAAAAGGAATGACTTCAGTCTCCATATCTACCGACATGTAAAGTACAATGTTTTCTTACCCTCCTGGCATCTCCGTGGTTTTCAAAGTTGACAAATCCAAAGCCACGAGAGCGTCCCCTTTCATCTGTCATTACACAGACGCTAAGGGTCTTACCTGTGAACCAGAGCCAGCTTTAAAAGAAGCAGAATCAATATTCCTAATGAAAAGTGCTTGCTGACGAATTGTAGATCTGAAGTCAAAGATTAAAATCCCCTTCTGATACTTTAAGCTCATCTGCATACTTCACACTTGTATATTCCCAAAGGATATCTTTACAAGAAATCCCCATATGAAACTGCTTACCAAATTCAGAGAAGATGCTCTTCAGTTTCTCACGGTCAATATCTTCACCGAAGTTCTTAATGTACACATTGGTAAACTCCATGGCTTTAGCTCCAAACTCTGCCTCACGCTCCTTACGAGACTTAAAATGCCCTACAAAACTGCAGAGGCCAATTGAAATAAACACTTAAAAAGAAAGCCAAACTGGAAAAAACTTAAGAATGTCAGTTCTGCAGTTGAAATAAAGGTGTAAAGTTTTTGATATTTTTAATTTAGAAAACATGCATCATTTACAAGGACAAACCTCAAAGCACAAATTAAAGGGGTCATATGATACTGCTAAAAATAACATTATTTTGTGTATTTGGTGTAATGAAATGTTTATGCGGTTTAAAGTTTAAAAAACGCATTTTCCACATACTGTACATTATTGTTTCTCCTCTATGCCCTGCCTTTTTGAAGCTCATCGATTTTTACAAAGCTCATCGGTCTGAAAAAGCGAGGTGTGCTGTGATTGGCCAGCTATCCAATGCGTTGTGATTGGCCGAATACCTCAAGCGTGAGACGGAAATGTTACGTCCCTCACCATACTGTTGATGCCGTGTCCCGGCCGGAGCGATGAAACAAAAATATTAAAACCCATTACAAACGAGGCATTTGTTGCATCCAGTGGGGACATAATTACTGATTATAATGACTTATACTGTCTTTTTACGCGTTGCGCCGCGTAAACATAAAACTCTGTCTGCATTTGTGATCAGAGAAATGACAAACAACAAGTGCTACTCTACACTGCCCAAAACTTGCGTTTGAATCATCAGTGGCAAATCCTTTAAATGAAAACGTACTTACGTGAGTCAGAACTGCCGGCATTGTAGTCTAACGTTACTCTCACAGGATCAGGAAACAGTCCTCCATAAAATGTGCTGCACACATCTGGATATTTGGATTGAACTGTTCTGGAACAGTGTTGTAAATACAACTTAACCACTGATTTGTAGTCGTGTCCTCTTTTGGAAGACCAAACAAAGTAGTTTCGCTTTCACAACGAAAAACACAGCGGCCTAGCGGAAGCCCCGGCTTAGCGTGAGCTGAGGCCGGGATAGAGTGAGCAGAGGCGGCGGGGTTGAGAACGGCGCAGCCGGCGGATCCGACGAAGGAGCGGCAAGCACATGTGACGACCCCGGGCTTCATCCATGGTGAAAGCCGATCCGGTGATCCACAGCACTAAGTTGATGTATTTCCTCAGCGACCAGCACAGATCAGCTCCAGGCATGACGAAGCGGATATCGTCCTCTTTTGGAAGACCAAACAAAGTAGTTTCGCTTTCACAACGAAACACACAGCGTCTTCAGGACATGGCGGAAAGCGGCAACAATACTACAGCGAGAATAAAAGTTACGCCTTCTTTCTTTGCGTGAACATTTGGGCGGTGTTATACAAATCTTCCCACATAGTGACGTAGATATGTGGGGGCGTGTTAGAACGAGCCGTTTTGGGTTGGCGTGGCTGACTCTGAACTTTCATAAAGAATATCTCTTTGGATTTGAGACTTTAGTCTTTGCAACTTTACAGATCTTCTTTGTGCACCAAGAGCTTGTAACACTCCAAAGAGAAAGGAAAAATTGAAATCGCATCATATGACCCCTTTAACAAAATATTATCAGAAAAACCTGTATAAAATCAGTTTTCAGCTTTTTTCACTTGAAGGCCCACCGTTATCCAACAAAATGTTTGATATATCCCACATACACCAAGATATTTGTGATATTCCTGTTGTAATTATGACAAAGCTTCTCGTTTTCAAACTTTTTTTTTATTGACAGGCCTATATTAAATTAACATGGTTAAGTAATTTAATATAATTAACTATGTTTCACTTCATAATTCCAGAAGTTATGTTCTATATTAAAGAACTGCATGTTCTTCGATAAAAACTAAAGTTAGACATGATTCAGTTTGCACCTTGATTTTGTGTGCGTGTTTTTTTTCTAGCATTTTGAATCATATATACATACTATTGTAGCCATTAAATCCTTTTGCTCAGATCCTATAGTGTTCCTCAGGCCCCTTGTTGAGAACCACTGGTGTCAATACTTACACTTTGCGGTCATTCAGAAGCATGCCGTTCATGGTCTCAATGGCTCTGTTGGCTGCTTCTTGGGTCTCAAAGTGCACAAACCCATAACCCTTTGAGCCATTCTCATCACAAACCACCTAGAATGAAACATGCATTAGTTACTTTCTTTGTAAATTATTTAAATTCAACTTGGATAAAGCTGCCTTTAAGATATTTTAATAATCATTAAAACACACAGTAATGAAAAAGGATGTACCTTACATGACAAGATGTTACCAAAGGCAGAGAAGGTGTCATAGAGAGCCTTGTTGTCAATAGACTCATCCATGTTCTTGATGAAGATGTTTCCCACACCAGACTTTCTCAGACCTGGATCTCGTTGAGACCACATGATCCTGATTGGACGACCCTTGATGACTTCATAGTTCATTGTGTCAAGGGCACATTCCGCTTCGATGTAGAAAATAAAAAAAAAGTGAGATTCACTATTTCGAGAAGTGCTATAGTCATTAGAGTTTGGGTAATTCATTATTAAAATGTATATTTCATCTGAATTCTACTTTAATTCAAATCACAGTTCTTCCTTCCTAATCCAAACTTCAATTAAAAAGCATTCTCGGTTCAATTCACAACACCCTAGTAGGAGTGTGCTCACCATCAGCAGGCTGCTGGAAGTTGATGTAAGCATATCCGAGGGATCTCCGTGTAATAACATCTCGGCACACACGGATGGACATGATCTGACCAGCAGGAGAAAACTTCTGGTACAGCATGGCCTCAGTGACATCAGGATGAAGGTCACCGACATAGAGAGAGGCTAACGGGTATGCTGGTCCACTGCTATTCATCCTTCAGAAGCACTCTGCAAAAGAGTAACTTATGATCAGAGAAACTGCAGTACGAAAAAATTATAATAATAATATTTTTCCCCACTTTCAAGGACGTCTTCGTTAAACTTTAACTGACAACTATCAATACATTCAAGGCACTCTTAGTTAAACTTTAACAATTAGCAATGCATACGACACATTTTTTAATGAATAAAAACACAACTGTCAGGCTAATTGTTAGTTCATGTCCATTAAATAATATGAACAGATTTTTCATTGTTAGTTCTTGTTAACTAAATGTAGTTCGCTAATGTTAACAAAACGGAATCTTACTGTGAAGTGTTACCAAAAATTGTAATAGTAGGTGCAATATTGTAGTAGATTAAATACTACAGGAATCCCCCCCGAGCTCACTTGAATTACTTTTTGGTTCAATTATTTTTAAAAATTCATTCAACTGATGATTCAATTCATTTCACACAACTGATGATGTGTTGCATTGATGGAAACAGCATACAAAGGTCATTGGCAGCATCACCTCAACAAAAGGCATCTTTCACCCAGGCTAAAGTTCGCACAGAAACTGGGATCTGATGGACATCAGATAAGGGGTCTCACTGGCCACATCCATGAAAGTGAAGTACACATCATGTACAGCATAACATCAAGGATCTCCACCCAATGACTGCAGCGAAGAATTGTACAATCTTCATCTATCCATCTTACCATACTAGTCCTTTTCTTATTGTTCCCCAGTCACGCATAAAGCAATTGTAAAGTCACCACTGATTAGTGGGTATTGAGGCAAGTACCAGGGACATGGATTAGGCCATGATCCAAACTCAGAGCGGAACAATTGCTGCGTCTCGCTGTGTTCTGCTCACAGTGAAGGGACAATGTTCTATGGTACGGCTAAATATTGGGACCATAACACCTTATTATGCAAACTAAACGCGAAAAAGAACATAACATGATTTGATGCTCCGTGCTCAATTTCACGTGCATATGCGTTATTTATATATTTGAACAGACCCTATCTGTGAATCGTTGCGAAACTGTGACTGATGGGCAAAAACTAAAAATAGCTAAAAGTTTATTATTAAAACATGAACCCCTCTGAGGACTCTGAGGAAAGTTACAGTTACCTGGTTTAATGTGGAGCACATAAGCATTTCCTTCAGTGTAGCTGCAAGCGGGCTCCACGGCTCCACCACTGATTTTGTGTCAGTTTAATTATTACCGAGGAACACCTGTCATTGTAACGCGCTCCGTTGCGTATCAATTCAAACTCATCAGCGAGAACTGCCTTTCCGTGATGTTCCGCGTAAGAAAATAGTTCTTGTGAGCGCCCACTGTCCAGCGATCATTTAAATTACTAGCTAAGTACGATAAATAAATAAAAAATAGATCAACTACGGGGAACAAGGATGTGGTTACTGTGCCGTAGTAGGCTACATTAAATGTCGATATTTTTGTGGCTTTCTGATAATCTCTCAATGCTATCATTGCATGGATCCTGAGTAAACTGCTGACGCCAGGTGTCGAAGATGCATGCATCATTTCAGCAGTATATTGATTGACAGTATTCCAAGTAGGTAACAAAATAAATAGTTATAAATATAAGCTTACGAAACACACAAAATACATGATATACACATAACAATATGGAGGGTGGGAAATACAATACACAGGAAGTGCAAATGCACTCTAAAAAAATGCTGGGTTAAATACAACCCAGTGCTGGGTAAAATAGGGACAAACCCAGCGGTTGGGTTACTACCCAGAAGGTTGGGTTAAACATTTAACCCAACCGCTGGGTCAAAACACAACTGTCAGGCTAATTGTTAGTTCATGTCCATTAAATAATATGAACAGATTTTTCATTGTTAGTTCTTGTTAACTAAATGTAGTTCGCTAATGTTAACAAAACGGAATCTTACTGTGAAGTGTTACCAAAAATTGTAATAGTAGGTGCAATATTGTAGTAGATTAAATACTACAGGAATCCCCCCCGAGCTCACTTGAATTACTTTTTGGTTCAATTATTTTTAAAAATTCATTCAACTGATGATTCAATTCATTTCACACAACTGATGATGTGTTGCATTGATGGAAACAGCATACAAAGGTCATTGGCAGCATCACCTCAACAAAAGGCATCTTTCACCCAGGCTAAAGTTCGCACAGAAACTGGGATCTGATGGACATCAGATAAGGGGTCTCACTGGCCACATCCATGAAAGTGAAGTACACATCATGTACAGCATAACATCAAGGATCTCCACCCAATGACTGCAGCGAAGAATTGTACAATCTTCATCTATCCATCTTACCATACTAGTCCTTTTCTTATTGTTCCCCAGTCACGCATAAAGCAATTGTAAAGTCACCACTGATTAGTGGGTATTGAGGCAAGTACCAGGGACATGGATTAGGCCATGATCCAAACTCAGAGCGGAACAATTGCTGCGTCTCGCTGTGTTCTGCTCACAGTGAAGGGACAATGTTCTATGGTACGGCTAAATATTGGGACCATAACACCTTATTATGCAAACTAAACGCGAAAAAGAACATAACATGATTTGATGCTCCGTGCTCAATTTCACGTGCATATGCGTTATTTATATATTTGAACAGACCCTATCTGTGAATCGTTGCGAAACTGTGACTGATGGGCAAAAACTAAAAATAGCTAAAAGTTTATTATTAAAACATGAACCCCTCTGAGGAAACAACGTTAGTTACAGTTACCTGGTGTAATGTGGAGCACATAAGCATTTCCTTCAGTGTAGCTGCAAGCGGGCTCCACCCCGTTGGGACTGATTTTGTGTCAGTTTAATTATTACCGAGGAACACCTGTCATTGTAACGCGCTCCGTTGCGTATCAATTCAAACTCATCAGCGAGAACTGCCTTTCCGTGATGTTCCGCGTAAGAAAATAGTTCTTGTGAGCGCCCACTGTCCAGCGATCATTTAAATTACTAGCTAAGTACGATAAATAAATAAAAAATAGATCAACTACGGGGAACAAGGATGTGGTTACTGTGCCGTAGTAGGCTACATTAAATGTCGATATTTTTGTGGCTTTCTGATAATCTCTCAATGCTATCATTGCATGGATCCTGAGTAAACTGCTGACGCCAGGTGTCGAAGATGCATGCATCATTTCAGCAGTATATTGATTGACAGTATTCCAAGTAGGTAACAAAATAAATAGTTATAAATATAAGCTTACGAAACACACAAAATACATGATATACACATAACAATATGGAGGGTGGGAAATACAATACACAGGAAGTGCAAATGCACTCTAAAAAAATGCTGGGTTAAATACAACCCAGTGCTGGGTAAAATAGGGACAAACCCAGCGGTTGGGTTACTACCCAGAAGGTTGGGTTAAACATTTAACCCAACCGCTGGGTCAAAACAACCCAATTGCTGGGTTTGTCCCTATTTAACCCAGCACTGGGTTGTATTTAACCCAGCATTTTTTAGAGTGTGGAGTGTCAGTGAACAATGTACTGTAATGAAATGTGCAAAGTATGCAACATTTTATGAAATTTGTTCCAGAAAGTCAAGAAAAAGGCTAATCTTTCGTCTTATTTATTGAAATACAAAAATTATAGGCTACTAAAAGTAGGCTAATATGGGGAAAGCATGAAATAAAGGAGTGTACACATTTTACCGGCAGAATAGGTAGGTTACTGAAAATGAAGTCTTGCACACACTTGAGAGTGTGTCACTCTTGTAATACTGATTAGGAACAAAGTTTTTTTTCTACATTCTGTTCTCTAAATACAAACTCGCACTGTATCCACACAAAACGGCACTCATCCCTTCTGCATAATCACTCAGACAAAGTGGCACTGAACAATCTTACAATTTGTAGGCCTGTCACGATAACAACTTTTTGTTGTGCGATATATTGCCCCAGAAATAATTGCGATGAGCGGTATTATTGTCATTTTAAAGACCATTTTATGCCACTGAATATATAATCATAATGTAACAGCATAATAATGCAAGAAGGCCTACACACTTGTAAGGATGGTTTTCCTACGGTGGTTCAGGCTGTAGGATTGCCGAATGACTAAAGAAACGTTATCAGCACAATGGTATAAAACTGTACATTTCTAGTCTGTTACCACCCACTGTCACTTATACCAATGACGGAAATAAGCGCAGTTAGAATAGCTACATATGTGGGAGAGCGTTGCTATTGTGTGACTATTGTATTGCAATAGGTAGCACTTTAAGATGAACCTTGAATCAAGACTAGTTAGCACATAATTAATAATTGAAATGGTTTAATAACAATATTTTGTTATGGTTACACTTGAATTGGTTACAAAATAGATGAAGGATGGTAAAGCATAGTTAATTGTACCCAACATGTAAAATATTACCTGAGAGAAAGAGATAGAGAGAGGAAGAAAAAGAGGGAGAGAGGGCAGAGACCCAAGAAGAGAGCCAGCCAAGAAAAGAGACAGAGCAACAGTTACAGTCCTCTTTTATCCCTTCCTTGACCATGTGACTAAAAACCAAATGTGAGACATTCAAACTGACCAATCAGCAGATTATAACTTCACCCACTGGGCAAAAGGTGTGACAATTAGCAGACCCCCGGTGTATACACATGTTGGCCTACAGGCCTTGATCGATATCAGCACCTCTGTGCCTTCAGGAATTCCAAATGGCCCTTTTGTTACTGAAGATAGGTTTGGGACAGGAAAGCAGAAGTCTTTGATAATTTTTGACCTTACACACTTCCAAATGACAACAAACTTTTAATTTTTAAGAAAATTTAGATCATGCAAATTAAGTATCAAAATATTAGATACTTTAACAAAAACCTGAATAAATAGTAAATAAACATTTTCTAACAAAAAGTACAAAGTAACAAGTAGAAAAAAAGAAAAAATGCACAAAGAACTTGTATGGAGATTTATCCATCTACAGATTTGTCCCTGACCGTCTTTTCTCTGTAAATTAAGGGTGCGCACTATTGCTGAAAAACACAATCACTACTTAGCAGTCAGATGTCTGTCAGATCCCTAAACAAGGCCATATCTGCAGATTAAACTGTTTGTAGAAACATTTTTTTAAATGTGAACTACCACCTCATGACTACACCACGTTATGTACGAGAAGCTGCAAAAGACACAGGCCCAAGTAGAATGTACAAAACATGGTGACTTTAATTTTTAAAGGGGTCATATGATACTTTTTTAAAGATCATTATTTTGTGTATTTGGTGTAACGGAATATGTTGACATGCTTTAATGTTCAAAAAACACATAATTTTTCAAATACTGTACATTATTGTAGTTCCTCTATGCCCCGCCTCTCTCAAACGCTTCGTTTTCTACAAAGTCCCTCCTTCCGACAAGCGCAGTCTGCTCTGATTGGCCAGCTGACCCAGTGCATTGTGATTGGCCGAACACCACCTCTCACACACACACACACACACACACACACACACACATACGATGCACAAACTCATTGAACAGTCAATAGCAAATACTTAAACTAATAACAAAACAGTAGCTGATTCAGAAGCGCCAGATTGTCATAGCAAAGTCAGAATGACCTCCTCTCTTAGGTTCACGAAACGGTCGTCCATAAAATGCATTGCTGTTCTGTTGTAAGTAATCTTAAAGATTCCTAAATGCATCTACTTCCGGAAGGCCAAATAAAGGGCTTTTGCTTTCGCCTAGAAACACACAGCGTCTCCCTGACATGCTGCTTCAACACTAACTGCGGTTACTGAAACCACGCCTTCTTTCTTTGCGTGCACATTTGGGCGGCATTATGCAAATATTTCCACATAGTGAGGTAGATATGTGGGGGCGTGTTAGAACGAGCCGTTTTAGGGGGGCGTGGCAGAGTCTTAACTTTTATAAAGAATATCTCTTTGGTTTTGAGACTTTAGTCTTTGCAACTTCAGGGATCTTATCTATGCACAATCAGCTTGTAACACTCCAAAGAGAAAGGAAAACTTGAACTCGCATCATATGACCCCTTTAAAAAGATGTCTATAGGTAATTTCAGTATAACAAAATGCATACATATGAGTGAATGATTATAATAAGCTAATGCCATTTTTTTTGTTACTCTATTAAACCTTCAAATAACAAGCATTCCATTGTTAAACACATTAACAATAAATCAAAGCAGCATATCATAAACACAAGAACAATAA